CTGCTTCCTGGGGCTGCCCCTGCTTCCTTATGACCCTGACACTAGTCAACCCAGAGAGCTGCTTTGAACCCAAGCAGTTGTATTGTTTTAAGGAACAAGTACAGGACGAACTCAGGATGTCAAACACACTAACCATCCCATCAGGGGAATGAGAGATTAAAACCACACACCCTCAACGGAGTCAGAGACGGTCAGGGGGAACCTGCCAGGGAGAGGTCCTTCTCCAGCAAAAGAGCGTAGAAAACCCTCCAGACCCAGAGCCACCAACAGGGCCCTCTCTGGTCTCCTCTCTTGCTCTGGGAGCTTTCCTTGCTGGCTTCTAATAAATCTGCTACTGAGTTCTCACCTCTGCCACCTGCACTCTTTATTCTTTGGGTGCATGACACAAGAACCCTCCAGTGCTCACAGACCCTGGGTCACACTGGGGATCAAACCCAGCGCCGCGCGCACACCAGGCAAGTGTCCTACCACTGAACCGCAGCCCTCCTGGATCCTCTCTGGTGTGTGGACACAAGTGGGAGCCTGGCTACCCACCACTGCGAGGCCCCTGAAGGTGTGCTTGGGCCAGAGCCCCACATCACGAGGGCATCATGATTAAGCGGATGTCCGTCTCGACAGCTGCTCAGGAATCTCAAAGGACTCTCAGCTCTGTCTTCCCGGACGTTCTGACGTTGCCCTAGGCAAATGCAACTTGGCTGACCATCCAGGTGGGCTCAGGTGATCACAGACCCTCAGAAACTGTGTCTGGACCCAGAATTCAGGGTGCTGGTCCTTAAGGCACAGACCACAGGTGCAAATGATGTCCACTTCCTGTGGCTGCCTGGCCAGCACTCTTCTCCTGGGGTATTTCCCACAATCTCAAGAAGACACTGCTTCCTGCACCAGTGACCAAACCCCTGCTAGCATCTGGGATGCTGATTAACAATGCCACTCATGTCATCAGCGGAAACCTGGTTTTGACACCTCTTGTGCCCATTAGGAAGGCTTGGGTGGATTCAGATGAAGAGCTAAAGAGGTGACACCATTGCTGGGCTGTGGCCTTGGATAAGTGGCCAGTCTGCCCCACATCAGGTGACGGGCGACTTGCGGCCTCTCCGAAACCAGCCGGATCACAGCCTGTGCTTCCCTGTGGTCTGGGACTTTCCACCTTGGCCCCCAGCTCCCGTGCTCTGGGAACCCTCCAGCCTGCCCACTCAAGGCTCAAGTATTTCGACACAATTTTAGACAGTCACACTCTTAACAGCAAATCAAGAACCTTGACCTTGAAGAGCTAAAAGAACAGGTTTGCTAGAAGCAAACTAGAACTGATTTTAAGAGCAATCTGCCTCTCCTCTCCCAGTGGCCCATCTTCCTTCTGGGAAACCATGGCGCTTCCCGTCTTGGTGGGGGGGTTTCCTCCACACAGCTCCAAAACGGGGTCAGTCTGTCCAGTGAAACTCCCAAAGGTGCTCTGTAGCTGCCTCCAAGGTTCGCTCAATCATTCTGCCACTGCGGGCGGACAGAGGGCTGTGCTGGGCCCAGGCAGCACAGGAAGTGGGGGAGCCTCAGGGGGGCTTCTAGTCTGAGGATCCAGGGGCAGAGAACTGGGTGCTCTGGTTCCAGTTCCTCTGCTAAGGCCTTGGGAAAGTCCCTGCCTGGGAGTGTCCTCCTACACACCGCCTTCCCGCCTCGGTCACCAGGCGAGAGGGCCCTGGGGTGCC